GATCCGAGTCGATGGTCCATGCTTGTTATTCGTCTCGACGTGGCAGCTTCGCCTTCGTGTCAAGTCAAGTCTTCCTCAGTGATCCATCTTCTCGAATGAGGCATCCTCACTCATTGATTCCCTTTTATACACGATGCTGATGGTCGATATAATCTCCGGTGATAACAACTTGTTTTTCTTCTGAACATACATCATTGCGCACATCATGCAGAAGTCGGTGTTGTTATCAGCTAGCACAAAGCGTAGGAATATTTCGAAACCGACTTTCCTTGAACCTCGGTATCACTAATCAATATGTATTCTTTCTTTGATTATACATTTACTTGGATACTTGGATGGTCCGTCCTCTCCGGTTGTGCAAATCCCAGCACATTTGCCATTCGTCTCTTTCCCTCGCAATCGTCGTCCATGGTGGTGGTCTTGTTCGAGCATGGTAGCGCGTGCAAGTGTCATACCGTGACCTATAATATATATATATATATATATATATATATATATATATAGACTGTAGACTATATATATATATATTCTACAATAAATTTGGCTTACAGATTTTAAAAGTTCAAGTTTTTTTCATTTTTTCTGAATTCTGTTTGTGATTACGTTTAAAATCTAGAAAATAGTGTACATAAATACATATATATATATACTGTACATGTGTATATATACTTGCATACTTGGATGGCCCGTCTTCACTGGTTGTGCGGGCACCGGTATAATTTCCACTTTTCAGAGTTTTGCTTCTTTAGCCATCGTCACTCCCTGGAGTCCCAACGTTAGTCTGGCCAAAGCCTACCTCAGGTCATATACACCACAAGTAGTCGCCGCCCTTGTGGAACACAGAATGATTTGCCACCATCGGGCCACTTTGATACCAGTTCAATGGTGGATCCCGGTTTTGGTTTACACTTAGCTGGGCTTCCTGATAGAAGCTCCGTCTCAGCTTTGGTGGCTTTGCTGGGGGAGTGAATCTCACCACTGCACATCCCAGCCCGGCACTCATAGACACCCGCCAAAAACCACTGTATATATATATAATCTATATAATATATATATATAATATATATAATCTCAGAATATAGTCTTTTTAATAAATCTGCACAGTTCTCAACTCCTCAATCCTATAACGATCGACAAATCAGCTTTGCGCGTTGTGTGTTCACAGTGAGCTTTGACGATGGACCGGATGTAATCACCTCCCAACGTTCTCATCCTGTCGTTTGCATCCATGGCCTTTAGAATCGTTATCAGTAGGTTCCATGCCTCATTTTTAGAGTTACATATTCGTTTTTTTATGAAAAATTTCCACTATATTGCTTAAGTGTAACAGCTATTCTCGTTTTCAAAAGCCCAACCCCCAATTACCTGTTATTTTTTCAAAAACTGTGAAATATGTTCGATTTCCGTAGACATACAAGCTTAGCGTGTAGTTTTTGAATTTCATTTGCTTAGTTATTTCGGTAAATGTAAGAAGGTGAGATGTTTTTTAGCTATTCAGATGGTCGCCATTTCGAGAGTGTCCAAGAGTTATGGTACTTGCCATTAGAGACAATATGAATCCATAATTAAGTCTGATTCTAGCTGTTGGCGATTTCTCCCGGTGCAGAATACACGGCATCCGTTCGGGTCTGCTGGAACATGGTCTGTTCCCCGTTCGTCAATGTCATCAATACAGCTTTTGCACCGCTAAAATGTGGGTCACGAGGCCCTGTTGGGTAGAGTTCGCGCCAAGGCTTACGATTGGTTCACACTTTCATATATTCTTGCTGGTGTGGATTTCGTATTTTATACTGCTTTTATTGAATTTTTTTTCTAAAAATATGTTTACATAGTGACGCGATGTTCTAAACAGAAGCTACCCTTACTTTTCAGATCCACCGATTGTGTTTTTGAAGCGTTCAAACGACGTGACGTCAGCATTCGATTTACTTGGAGAGGAAATACAGGCTGATTCCTTTAGTTAGGGTCTTTACATTTTTATTATTTACTTATTTGTTTTTATGAAAAATACAGCTGTGTGTGTTCAACAGTTGCCAAATTTAGTCGGCGCATGTTTTTAGCCCCAGAACTTGTGAATTGAGATCAACTCACACTGGCTGATCTGTTCTCCCACCTACATATGAGCGAGAATCAATTTGTATCAGGCCTCAAATGTTACTTTGTGTTACTAATAATCTTTGCCTCGAAATTTTGAGGTTGAAATGTCTGATTACCTGAGGACGCCCATTATTTTTTACATTTATGCTTCTGATATCTCCCATACAGCTGAAGCGTGAAAACTAAAGAGACATAAAGCACACATTGATTTGTAGTCGTTTTGTTCTACCGTTTTCAGATAGAATAATCAAGCCATGTTGTGATGAAATTATGGCTCTCGACAACTCTACGGGAACATTGTACAATGTTGATTCCAACGACGTGAGCTCAATCGGACCTTAATTATTTGTGCTGTCCATATCTGAAAAGGCCTCATTTACATCAGATGCTATCAATTTGAAAACAGCGCATAGGTTTCAAAGAAACCAATAAGAGTCGACAATTCTTCCTTGTAGTTTTAAGGTTTTTCTTTCGTAGATATTGAAATATCGTTGCCTATTTGTTTGGATTTTTTCGTTTTCTGTTGTATTTTTCTTATAATAATGGATTCGTGAAAAGTTTTAAAACACTCTTGTTGTTGTCTCGAGCGCTCCACTAAGATGTGCGAAAATGTTTCCGATCTTTTATAGGTTTAGCTTTCTCATCGGTAAGGCGTGACATTCTAGGAGGTCAAGCTGCTGAAAAAGAAGTAACTTAGAACTGAGTAAGGCTATTTTACGACGATGTCTGCAAAGGTAGTCAAGGCTGACTTCTCGTCATGTTAAGGCCCATCGTATCTAAAGGGTGATGATCTCCGTGGATCCGGTGTAAATTGGACTATTTGAGAAAGCCCATTTGAGATGAACAGAGCTATAGAGCTTTTCGTCCTAGTCCCACACGGTTGAGAGATGTGATACTAAGCCAGTATGTGTTTTGCGTAAGGGCAGGCGATCTTTTAGCGTTAGTATTTCCTATTTAACATACTCATCGTTTTTGTTTATTAAATATTTTATCCATTCAAGATCCTTTTTAAGAAAAGAATTGTCTTCCATCGTGTCTCCAATCCCAACAAACTATTCGTGTTCACTGAATATCTAGCGGTGAAATTTATCACAGTTCTGGCCAGCCACGCCATTTTGGTACTTGCCTCTTCCTATCAAATCATCAGCTATCGTTTAACCAGCAGTGTGGAAAGCGTGTAAGACGAATCTAGTAGAACCGTAAACACTACACTGTAAATTCGTTGGCTTTTCAGGATTTTCTCTTGTTTGCAGCCGTTAGATGACTGTGCTGAAATCATTGGTTTGTCCTCTGATGACAACAGTGGCGAAATACACTTTCTTGCCCAGGTTGCCGTATTTGTCTTCCATTTTTCATTTTTTTGGCAATAAAGAGATACATTAACGAATAACAGTTACTATTCCTTTCAAGTTTCCCAATGGAACTACAGCTCTCTACGAACAAAATGTGAAGGATAGAATGCCGTATGTGCTAGCCACATCCAGTGATTTACCTCGGTATGTTACCGTAGCTATCATATTCCACAAAATTTGTTTTCAAGCAAAAAAATCACCCCAGCTCAATAATTAGCCAGCACCAGTCGACATTTTCTGGAAAAATGCTTGCAATTCGACATAAATTTACGTTATTGGATTTCTGGATTTCCCAGTGGAGTAGGTGACTTGATGTATCTACTGTTCTACTTCATGGTCACTTGTAAGATTTCATATTTGGGTAACGAGTAGCTCGGCCACTGGGTCTTTCTAGGGACTTGTTTGTGAAATGCACCGTTATAGTGAATTAGGTACTGTGCCACCCTCTTCTTTGTTTTGATTTTATTTACATTGCTAGATTTGGTCTCCTACATTGATCATTGTTGTGATTTTTCCAGTATCAGTATTGTCGATAGTGTTGGTATTCTATCTTCCTCATAAACAGAATTCGTCAGCTGGCGGTCTCTAACGGAAAGGTAATATTCGTAACTTATCGCGGACGAGTTGGACAGTGCGACAAGAAACTTGGCTCGCTGAACATGAACTACGCTCTAGTTGACGTCAGCACCGTTCTACCTATCAATCCCATGGAAATGTCAAATCATGTTGAAGTTCAAGGTTAGATTTTTACTAAGCTAGTTCATTTCTGCAGTATTTAGGAAAAACAGTCCATAGGATCGTAACCTAGATCGTTGCGTTTATGAGAAAACGGCGCGAGGTTAAGTACAGCAACTGGTTTATTTCGGCAGACGTTTCGGCGGATGTATGACCTTTGTTCAGATGCAGGTACTGCAGTGAATTGATATCAATAGGTAGAATAAGCTAGCGGCCAAATTCTGTAAATATTGTGTTAAAGATTCTATATGAGCCTATCGAAGACAAAGAAATTCAAGGGAAAATAACATCACGTTTACCACCAGTTTTTTTCTTCATCCACTTCTTTCTCCAGACACAAAAGTTTTTGCGTCGTATAACAGTAGTGAGACATTTATCGACATACACTTAATGATGTAACGTGCCAAGGGTGACCGTTAGTCTTCGGATTCTGTTTGCTACGTACACTAACTTACGGCGCGTGTGGCGTAGTGGTCGTAGGCAGCCTGCAACACAGACGTGTAATCGATACCCGCGCCCAAGGCTCACCAAATCTTCCATCCCTCTAGGGACGGCAAAGTGGTACTAGTCTCGCCTAAGAGGGTAGCAGCTCGATACATTGGTAGGCCACCGCGAGTAAAGGGCAGATATACATTCAATCATCTCCAAACGATGTTTGATGAAGTCGAATGAATGGCGCATCCCTCAGGGAAAGATCAACGCCGACAATTTTATCATTTATCCTTTTACGTACATTAACGATCACACTGATTTATAAAACAAAAATTTGTGAGCATTTTTAATGGGAAAGTTAGCATTTCAGCAGATACTGTGGCTATGGATGGCATCAAAAAGGACGAGGTCTCATGGGCTGTGGAACCGCGACAGGAGACCGGGAATGTTCTCTTCAAGGTGGTTTATTTATCCACTTATTCTTTCACAAGAGTTTCAAGAGTTTCTGTCAATTTTTTACCAGAAGGAATGTTCTCGTTTTTCAAACTTCAATCTAGAGCAGACTCAATCTTAGAGATGGCCATTTAAATAAGGCAGGTGTTTGACATTTAAGAATTACAACCAAGGTTCACAATAGTTTACTTTCATATTATAACCGAAGGATGCTCTTCAGTCTCAAATTTGCGTACCAGTGAATTTAGCAGCATGTCTACTTAAGCTGTGAAACAGTTTTCATATGGAAGCACAGCTAAGATTAAACCAGAAAACTGCTTGTTACGGAAAAATTCGGCATATACGATCCGCAAGAGTTAGCGGACGTGTGATTGACAGTATTGCGGTCTTAGGATTTTAGGAAGCAGCCTATCCCACTCTCGTGATTTTGGTAAAGTAGAAAATGTGTTCGCTACACAGTTAGTGAGTATAAGCTAGGTGTTCCTTTGAATACTAGGGTGATTGGATACTTGAATAGTTAGCCTTCATGATCGAGGCGGTACCCAACATATTTTACACTAGTTTCTTTGTCGCACGTAAGTCATCCATGTAGTAGCCTGCTTCCAATATGGTGACATTTGTGAGACACTTTTCGTGGTCGTTTCTATCTACGGATTCAGATGGTTGACGTAGGCCACAAACAGGGCGCTCATAATTTCAGTGTTCGTCCTTGAGGAAGTATGCATTGTCTTGGAGTCCACTGCAGTGTTCCTTTCATCAATCTGTTATCTGTTATTTTTTTCTGTGACTCTTTGTCCTAACCGCGTAGTCTGGTTTAGCGTTGTGTAGGTCATTAATATTTGAGAAAACATCGTTCAGTCGTTTGTGGCGGTGCGTAATTTTTTGGCGTGGTTGGCGTATCAACCCATAGCTTAGCAATCTTTCAGGGTTCTGGGGAGACCGCTGTGTCAAAAGGTGAATGTGGAATTTAGGGGTGTGCTGTTTGATCAGTGGCTTCCTTTAATGTGTCAAACGAGTTTTATTCTGTTCTCCTTTTTCTGCGCTATTTTTTACACTATCGTTTTCCATGTTCATTAAACAGCTTGGATACACAAATCGCGTGTTTTTTAATGGTAGGACCTTCCATCCCAATTTGCCCTCCATTGCAGATTCGACGTTTAAAGAATCAGGTTTTTCTCAAGCTGAGCACAATTAGGCGATTTGTGTGAATAGTGACGATTTCACTTCTCTACTGATGTGCTCTCATACAAAAACAGTGACCAGCTACACTGAACAACGGTTCCTATTCTGACTTACGTCTTCTTTTTCAGGTTTTCCAATCTTATAAATACTTTTAAGGTCTTAACCCTTTTATTTATTGCCTTTTTCTTTTTAATGGCAGTGTATGTTGCGAAATATAACTCGTATATTCAATGTTTTTCATAAATAAGCAGACACGAGGTTGTTAATATAGAATTTATTAGAACACAATCGCTGACGTTTCGGCGGTTTCGCCTTCTTCAGAGCCTGGAAAGGTCAAATTGAGATGCGATCTACTCAGCCAAACACTTTCATAACCCCAGCAGATAAAACTTGATAAATCGATTTGTATTCGCATAAGAAACAGCTTCATTCAAACACCTACCGTTTATTTGTTGTAAGTATTTAAGTTAGTTGGTGGATAGCCGCGCACAGAGTAATACATGGTCGTAACTCGTACATACTCGTATATATCAGCATTATATACGACTTCTAAGGTCTTCTATTCTACTGTTGAAGCCTCAGACGAAATTGAGAAAGCTCCAGTTATTTGTTCAACATATCCATCTAGCTCTCACCGGCTTCGTACATTTGAAAGTAGCAATTAATGGTATTGTTCTCTTTTTGAGAATGAGGCTACCGACGAAAGCGGCAAAACGGGACGAAAGGTTTTCACATCAATTGACATTATGGGTGAATTACAAGTATACGAAGAAAGCTGTGCCAATAGCAGTTGTTGAGCTTATTTCAATGGGTTCATTAGGGAATGGAAATATCAGTCTTTTTTTTTTGGTTTTCTGCAGAGGCATCTCGTGAAATTTATGGTTTTCATAACAACGTGGAAGTCGGCACTAAAGCAAAGAGCTTTGGTGTTGAGGTTCAGTGAAAGAAAGTCTCCACATTTCGCACAAGCGTTGTTCTGGTCCATGTTTAAGAATCCCTTTAAGATGTGTTATAGTCTGCGATTTCATAACCTCTGGCTGGTTATTTTACTAGCAGACTCGGTTGACTTTCAGTGTGATGCCTTCCGATGCTGGTATTTTACTGCTTTGCTCCTTCATTTGAAATCGGCTTCATTTGAACCTCAGAATGTGTGAATCGGAGGAGGATTTATTCATTAAAAGTTGCTACCGCGTTATTTCTGATGTAGATTTTTTTTCTGCGCTTTATGACTGAAGTGTCGTAGTTTTCACCTAATGTGCTCATTCTGGGGAAAGGTAAACCTCATTTGCATTGCAGTTTGATATTCAAGTAAATCCCTCAGTCAGTATGACATAGTAGACTATTCTGGACGAATTTTATTTTAGAAAAACGTAAAATATGAGCAACCTTTGTTTCCTAAACGAGAACCATTAATGTTGCTTTTTGTTCGCAAAGGGTGATTTCTAGCGCGTAGTTTTAGATTTCGTTGTGAATGTGTATAAGAGCAATGTAGGATTTCTTCCGTACTGAAATATAACGAAGTTCAAAGCGGCTATTTCAGATCTCTTTGTACAAAGACAAACTTTTCGTTGGTGAGGCTCAGACTGTTGTGACCACTCTGACGAAATTATCCTTGCCAGCTGAGCTGCTGCAATCGTGGCCTTCAGCTCAGCATTTTGACGTCAACATCGAGGGTATGTTGTGTTCATTTATAGAACCACTGTAGGAAAATGCTTCTTGAGAAACGAACCTTTATTGTTAAAAACCACAAGAAGATGGCTTTTTAAGGGGTATACCAGTATTGCCTTCTGCCTGCTAAGTTGTGAAAAGGAATGCACACGTTTTTGTATAGTCTAATAAACTCTAAAGAAAGTAGTGAAGGAACTGAGTGGTGGAATTCTGTGTCGTTTTTCTTGCGAACCAGAGTAACATGAAGGAAAATCTAGAATCACAACTATGGCGGTTTGGACTGTTTGTTGCTATACGTGAGGAACAATAGTTGTGAGCTGATTTTGATGTGAATAATAAGGGTTTTAATGTAAAAGCCGATTAAGAGAACGAAGTTTCGTTATAGGTAGTGGAACTTACGGTGTAAATCAGATAATTTTTAGAAAATATATTGAGAAAGCCTAGTAGTCCGATTAAGGACACCGACAGTAACTTAAATGATATTTTTTCTTCTGAAAATTGCTGAAATGCTTAAAAAGGTACTTCGAAGTAAAGAAAACTTATGGGTTCGTTGTTTTTACGGAGAACTTTATTTTGAATTTTTGCTTTAGGAATCACAGCGTGGATGTCGTTCAATGTTAGTAAAACAGGTCTACAAGCGCCACTGAAGCCACCTACGGCGCCAACAAATGTGCGCCTTTACGCAACTCAACAGGTAGAGATTCTAGCGAGTTCTTCTTTTTCAGCTTTATTTTTTAAACATAATTCCTAACATAGTTTCTTACAGAAAACTGTTGACGGCGCGAGGGCGATCATTTCTCTGTTTTGGTCACCACCAGAGGATTGGAATGGGGCACCATTTCAGTATATTATTAATTGCACCAAGGTGAAATTAATGGTATTTTCGTTTGAAATAGCGCTCTTAGTTTACTAATACTTTATATGACGCATCATTTATAGAATTTTTTGTGTTGTAAAGTTATTTCATATAATTCGTACTGAAACATGCGTTCCAAGCCGTAGAAGAGAAACGCGCCCGTAGAAATTTTACATCCTCACAGTACTTTCAGGACAGTCCGTTTTTCCTCATTTTCATATTTAATTTTTATTTTATATTATTCGATTCGTCTTGCCGTCTACTTTGCGGATCCTAGGACTTTTCACATTCAATTCGTTTCCTCGCATCTATTGTCCACGAGGACCTTCCAACTTTTACATGCGGCTTCGGTTGCTGCTTGAGAATTTCCATTTCATCTTGAATGTCGTAGAATGCTGGTCGAGACGATTCCTCCTGGAATCCTGAAAGAATTGGGCCGCAGCGTTTCCAATTGCATTGCAGAAAGTGATTTTTTCCGAGATAAGACCAGTAGCAGTTTCCTGACCCCGGAGAGATGAGGGCTTAGTTGCCCCGGAGCGGAATCGAACTAGCACCATGGTCGTGATGACGAACATCACTACCACTGTGCTACCAGCTTCCTCATTTTCATAGGGAGGCATAAATCCTACAAATGTAAATGTTTGGAATTTTTGAAGTCCCATGTATTTTTTCCTTTCCAATTATGTATTAAGGAATTGATAAACGCTTATTTCACACTGCTAATAATACTTTGACACATTTAAAGTTCTTAACAATTCCCAAGATCGACTTTCTACTAACTTCGGAATTGGATTATAAATCCGTTGTTTTCTTTTTTTACAGCAATCGCGAGGTTGTCGTTTAGCACACGTTTAATTCCTCACAAATATAACGCATACAACACAACGGTAGCTGACGTTTCGGAAGTATCGCCTTCTTCAGAGCCTGGTAGGGCACACTAATATGTAATTCACTACGTTAAACGCTTCAACAATGCAAACAGAAAAATGAAAATTTGAAGAATAACTGCACGATCACCGGCTTTTCGGAAAATCCACCGTTTTATCTGTTTTCCACCAAGGAAGAACAGCCGCTTAGAGTCAGTGGGTAAGGGGTAGTGCAGTAATCAACCATATGCGATTGCTGTAAAAAAGAGAACAACAGATCTAAACTTCTTATTTTTCTTATTTTCTGAACGCCCTTTATGCAGAAAGGCATATCTAATCCCTTTACTTATACATGATATTAACAGTGTTCTCAGGACGACGGTACTTTGCAAGGTGGTCCCGTAGCAAGTACGATTACTCACATCTCCTTTGAAGTTAAAAGTGGTAAGGTAAGATTCGCAAAAATATAAGTTTTTCAAGAATTGTTTTTTTTTTACCTAATTGTTTGGAACATGTACTGTACTAAATTTTTATGAACAAGAAAATATACGATTTTCCCACAGGTTGAATGCTCTGTGGCAGCCGCCAATGAGCCGAACAATGTCGGCGAGTTTACGCCGAAAATTTCCATTGATAGCAGCGGTGAGCATTTCTCCATCAAAACTGTATGTTTAGCAAAAAAAAACGCTGGGAATTTGTAACTAATTGAAATACTGAACTATTTGGACCAAATGGGAAACTGACATCTGTAATGGCAACTAAATTTTTGATTAAAGTTGTCAATTTTCTTTAAATCGACTTCCACCGACTTCAGCATGGATTATCAATGTACATTCTTTCATTAATATGTTCACAATAGATTGATAACTTGCATCGTTAGTCTAATGTTTTGTTATTGCCAGGACTGGAATAGTTTGAAAAAAACGATAATCGATAACCGCAGCTATGCTCAGATATTCGCAAAACCTCGGCCAGGGGCCAGATCGAACCATCATTTCCCTTCTCATGGAAGCCTTTGCTCTGCGCTCTGCGTTTCTCCCACCTAGTTTCCTTATTAACATTGCCATCAGAAATCACACGTGAGTGGAATTGATCTAGGGGCACAAATCGGCATTTAACCCAGCTAAGCTGAGGCTGAGAATATTCGACAATAATAATATTTTAGAAAAAAATACCGCTTTTGATCAAAAACTAACGGATGCGCCCCGCATTCGATTTCATTAAGCATCGTCAGAGTTAATTGAAGGCTCCTGTGCAATAACTGACTGACCTACCAAGCATCTTGTCGGTCTTGCTATCCTTTCAAACAAGTTTAGTACTAACCTGTTGCTGACACGCATGGCGGCGCTTGCGAGTCTCATACCGTGATCTGTAAAAGAACTGCAGCTGCGAGTACAGCTGATTAACTTTGCTTACGAATACTTCCGCCCAACGTGTAGGTGGTCGTCCTAGGGGACGTTTGTATTCCCTCGGAGTCCACTCAACTGTTCTCTTCGTCCATCTGTCGTCTGTTCTTCTCATTATGTGACCAGCCCATCTATGTTTCGCTGTCGATGTATATTCTGCTGGATATCGGAGATGTGACAAATTTCGAAGGTCAGAGTTTCGCATTCCGGCTGCATATTGAAAGTGCCCGTTATACTTCGGAAGACATCGCTTAAGCGCTCTGTGAGCAGTTCGAACCTTTTTAGACGTAGTTGAAGTATCAATCCACGTCTCTGCAGCATATCAGAGCGCTGGTACGACCGTGGAATCGAAAAGATGAGCGCGCATATTCGAGTCCTGCAGTTGATCGGTGGCTTCTTTGAGAGGCCCGAATGCGGCCTAAATTGCTTTCCTTCTTCTATCTAGTTCTTCCTTCATGCTGTTTTCCATATTCAGTGATCGCCCGAGGTAAACGCACGAGGTGGTCTTCGCAATGAGAGAGCCATTCAATTCAATTTTTTCGCCTTGGCGCCATGGATTTTTCATGAACTGGGTCTTCTTTCGATTTATGTGAAGTCCGATCTTTTCCCCGCATCGTTGAACTCGTTGATCATCACCTCTATTTTGCTAGTACTTCTTGAGAAGATGACAATGTCGTCGCCCAAACGAAGGTTTGACAGGAATTTTCCATCAATACGTATGCCTTTCACTTCTCAATCGAGTGATTTCATTATCCACTGCAGTGCGGCACTGAACAGCTTTGGCGGTATGGTGTCGTCCTGTCGAACCTCTTTTCCTATAGATGTTATAGGAGGTCGACGGAAAAGCTGTATTTTCGTAGTGCAGATCCGATAACAGTCGAACAGAGTCTTTGTGTAGGACGGGCCCACTCCTTGGTCGACGAGCGCTGATAGGATTGCATTCGTTTCGATACTGTCAAACGCTTTCCCATAGTCGATAAAAGTTAGGACTGGAGGCAAGTAGTATTCCTGACAAACTTCGATGACCCCGGGTATGGTTTAGATGTGGTCGATGCAAAAAAATCCTTTTGAAAATCTTGCTTGCTCGACTGGTTGCGCCTAATCCAATGTCTTTGATATGCGCAAAAGGATAATCTTCGTGAAGAGCTCGTTGAGTACACTTAACAAGCATATGGAACGATAGTTACGAAGATTCTTTCGGTCTTCTTTCTTAAGCAGGATCACCGTGCGCGACGTCCACCACTGGTCTGGTATTTTTTTCCATTTGAAGGTAGCTTGTCATGTGATCTGCGAGAAATACATGTTAATTGTGGCCTCCAGCTCTAGGAAAATCGGCAGTGATATTATCAGGTCTTGGAGTTGTGTCTCTTTTCATGCTTTCTATTGGAACTCGAATCACCGAAGAAAGAACTCCAGGTGGTTTTTTTCCAGCGGGGATACTCGGGCCCGATACGGGGATTGTGGAACGGAAAGGGTAGGTGTAGAACGTTTCCGCTATTAATTCAATATTATGGCGGAAAGTTTTGACGACCCGATCTTCTATAATGCTGACATGTTTGGAAAACTCCGGAGCAGATGTCTGTGGCGGGGAACGAACGCGCTATTGTCCTTTCCGGGGAGTGTCACGTTCACCACCACATCATGCGGATCCTTCGTTTCGCCTGTCTTTCAGCTAGTTCTATCGATCTTCTGCCATCATCGATCATCCGCAACATACCCTACCGTTAAAATGAGTAGGCAGTGAAGGTTGATTAAAAAGGTTAAGATTGTGATTATAGTTCCCAGGATCGACTTTCTCTTAACCTCGGCATTGGAATATGAATGTGTCGTTTTCTTGTTCAGCAATCGCGAAGTTTTTAAACAGCATACATTTACTTCCGTAAAAACACAATACAATGCAACGCTAGCTGACGTTTCGGCAGTATCGCCTTCTTCAGAGCCTGGAAGGGTATACTGATATACAATCTACTAGGCCAAACGCTTCAATAACACTTACACAAAGACGAAAGACTCTTTGGTAATTACACGACCAACAACTCGAAAAACCCACCACTTTTTCGTGACTTGTGATTATAGCTATAGCGTCAACTTAACTAGGTTCTATGCCGATTTGGGCTCCCCAGATCAAACCCGTTGACGGTTGATTGCTAATGGCAAAAGATCGATAGAACTAGCTGAGAGACAGGCGAAACGAAGGACCTGCATGATGTGATGGTGAAAGCGTTACTCCCCGCAAAGGACAATAGCTCGTTCGTTCTCCACAGCTGACACCTGTGGTCCAGAGTTTTGCAAATATCTCAGCATTATAGATGTTGTATTTCGCAACATACCCTGCCGTTAAAAAGAATAGGCAGTAAATAAGAAGGTTAAGATTGTGATCCCATCTCCGTTCATTAGGGCTAACGGCAGAGCATTATAATCACATATGCTCCGACGGCATTTTTTCAGAATTCTTCTTTTCTCTGCTGCTTCCATTAGTTTCTTCTGCTTGTACCGCTGTAGATCTTCCTGCAAAGCTCTTCTGCAACAGGCATTTATGTTAAACGTGTTGCAGTAGAATCAAGCTTCAGTTTTCTTCTCTTTTCTAGCAACTCCATAGTAGTGATGGAGATGTGATCCGATCTTCTTGCTTGGGGAACTGAGGTGATTTCGGAACAGTTTTTCAGTCTTTCGACAAGCAGCTCGTAGTCTTCGGTCGGGTCTTCTTTAATCTGCCAGTCACGTTTGGACAGGACTTCGTCCAGAATGTTCCCGTCGTGTACAGCTAAACTTTTCCTCGTGGTCGATGAAGAGAGTTCTTTTTCAGCTGGCGGCTGAATCGAATCTTCGTGCGAAGAAGGCGGTGATCGGAAACAGTACAGAAAAACGGGTCTACCGATATGTCAAGTGGGCACCATTTTCTGTTTGTCAGAATATGGTCGGTCTCCACATGAGTCATATCGTTGGGAGACTCCTATGTGCAGCGGCGGCTTTCTTTCTTCTGGAAAAACGAGTTTTCATGGAAGAGACGTGCTGTTGACAGGAGTCCTACGAGGCGGTTGGCATTCTTATTTCTTTCTCTTAATCCAAATTTTCCGATTCTGTATTCGCTCTCATTGGCCTTTCCTATTTTGGCGTTGAAGTCACCAACAACAAATTTACGATATGCTTTATCATTGCAGATGACTTCCTCCAACTGATCGTAGAACGCATTTAATTCGTACTCATCAGCTTCTTCGGTTGGTGAGTAGCAGTTGATGATAGTGATCTTCTTATGACGCGACAGTTGAAGATGGAGGACGGCGATGCGAGGGAAAAGAATCACGTATGAGACGACGAGATGGACAACGGACGGATGGACGACAAAGCCTCCGCCACCGACATTACGTGACGGGACTTTTTCTCCACGGATCACAAAGGTCCCGTTGTGTAGTTGGCGTATGTCGATTTTCTTGATTTTTGTTTCTTGTAATGCGATCGCATAAAATTTAATGCGATCTGCGGCTACAAGAAGGGCGTGAGGATCGGCGTCAGTGGAGAGTGCTCTGGCATTATACGTGCATAGTAAGAAACAATCTCCATGGCGTATCGTGCGTGCGTTCCTCAGATCCGCTTTCAATGACTCCCTGCGTAACCCGAGATTTTCTGGCCTCTCACCGGTCGTCTCACCGCCTGACGTCATGGACGGGAGCACCCAGTGTGCGAGGTACTGAGGCTGGCCTATTGCTGGTCGTGAAACTTGGTCCTCCCTTCAGTCCTGGCGTAACCTTGTAAGGGCGTATCCAGGTCTTCACGACGATGTGGTTCAGAGAGAGGACCTCTCAAGCTTGGGTAGTTAAACCTGTTACAGTAATGTAATACAGCAATATAATAGTAATATAATTCAGTGCGGGTACTACGCCTATATAATGTACATACTTTACATATACAGTATGATAACTTTATAAATAATCACAACAACAAATTTCAATGACCCTAATACATTTTTGGAACAGCATCGTGTTAGTTTGTTCATGCAACAAGACAATAACTAAGTCAACCACCACTTTTTCCCTCGATTAACGGGGAAAATCTTTGACAAGCAAGCCGCTGCAAACAGAAACTGCGATTAACTCTTTTGTTCTAGAAATTTAGAGTTCCTTGAAAACTCTTCTATAAATGTGCATGTACTCTGTGGGAAAAACTGTTCAAACTGCTGTTATTTTAAACCATTGGATCGTAACGAGTCAAATGGTGGCTTTTAAAATTTATGATCCAAAACCGTGATTTTCTTTCGACAAACAGGGCAGAGTGGCGAGTGCAAGGCATTTCCTATACCCTCTGGATCTCTGCACCGGTGCTATCCCACCTTTGGTAGACTTTCACTTCTTAGAGACAACTGGTGGCGGTACTAAGCAACCTTGCGACTAGTCTCGAATGCACACTATTGCTTATTTGAGACACAGGAACGGAGGTGCCATAGAGATAAATAAGCTCTCAATGCTAGAAATTTTCTTACTTATGGGTGTAAATCTCTCAACATCACAAGTTTTCCAAAAAAGCAAATAATTTGAAATTATTTATTTTAGAACTGAAGCCTTTGGTGCGACTTTTCGCTATTGACTCCACCAATGCACTTATTGCCATCACAAACGTTACACAGGATGAGCCGGCAAAAAAGGAAAAACGCCAGATTTCTCAAGTGAATCGGGTAATACTTGTACACTTCTACCCCTGATCGTTTTTGTTTTCTGGAAATTTTCCTTAACAAAGCCGACATGGGGTGCTTCCATAACTATCGTTTTTCGAACTGAATGCAACGGGAAATGACAAGAAATGCGAAGAACATTGATTTAAAAAAATGAAGAGATAAGGAGTGGAAGTAAAAAAATGCATATATGAATGTGCTTGTTCTTGTTATGGTTTTTACAGAAGGCGGGTAATATAGTGGTGATGCCACTCACGAGCACCATGTTGATACGAGTCTGCTGCGGCCTCATAGTTATTCTAATCCCTCTGGTGCAGGAATTTGGTACCAGATTTTTGTGGGAACAGTTCACTTTCTCTGATGCAAGTAGTAATGGTCTGGTTCGACCGTCCTAGTACACTAGAGATCTACTCCAGCGGCATTAAGCGATGTAAACAAAGAATGCGAAAATTTTTGACAAGCAGTCGAGTCTCCACTCGAAAAGTTCGAAAACTTTCTTAGATTACGGTTGCGATGAAACGAATTGAATGAAATAAGTGCTGGGATTAGCATAGTAGGTGTGAAAATGGGTCGACTAATGTAATAAATAGTGAATTTTAGCACTTTGTTAGCACGACGCTCTTGCGATGGGTTATCATAGTGTCAAATTATGAGAACACAGGTTTTTTCTCATTTTCTGGAAAAGTGTTCCATTCACCAAACAGAGATTTATAGAAGAATTTATCACGGAACGCATTCGTTTCTGTCGCTATTTTATATCTTTGAGACAATCATTAACGAAAATTTCTTAACTGTACCTAAAGCGAAGCCTGTCAGGCAGTTTTAGTGTTTGTTGCAATTATTTCAGATGGAGTACCAGGCCATCGCATTTATCGCCAACGATTTGTTTGCAGTGAGGACCGAACCTGATTCTCTGCAGCCCGTTTTAGTTCAGATTGATACTAATGATATTGACAATATTGTCCATAAAGTAAGTTTGATTACCGGAACGTTTTTATCACTTGTAATAATTTGCTCACTCCAACATATTTTCTGTCCACTCCTCTGTGTTACGATACGTCAGCAGACAAGTAGTCTGATATATAATAAATGAGAGTGTTAATCGTAACTCTTTTATTTACTGCCTTTTTCTTCTTAATGGTAGGTTATGTTTCGAATTATAACTCGTATGAAATGCTGAGATATTTGCAAAACTCCGGACCACAGGTGGATGCAGTGGGGAACGAACACGCGCTGTTGTCCTTACCGGGGAGCAGCGCACTTCACCACTACACCGTCCGGGTCCTTCGCTTCGCATGTATCTCAGCTAGTTCTATCGATCTTTTTGCCATCAGCAATCACCCGTCAACG